ATAAGGAGTATTCTGGTGCCACCTAGCGGTGTATGTTTCCTGCTGAATAGGAAAATGAGGATTAGACCAGGGTTCTCAAAGTCTGGTTCTAGTGGACCTGCAGCAACATCAGCATCACCTGGTAAATTGTTAGAAATGCAAATTCTTGGGCTCAACAGACCAATTGAAACTATGGTGGTGGTGGGGGGGGGGGTCCCACAATTTTGTTTCAACAAGCCCTCCAAGTGGTTCCGATGCACTCTCAGGTTTGAGAACCATTGGATTAATTAGCTCTTACACAGAAATTAAATGCAAAGTCCTAAAAAAAAAATTAGGCCTACAAATTAACAGAAGTGATCAATTTCGAATTTTGGAAAACAATTTAATTTTCTACAGAGTGGATCCAAATATCTGTATTGGAGAAGAGTCTTCAAAGACACTTATTAACTAATTTATATACATTCAACACCTGACAAGACATCAAACCTCTGAAAACGTCAGATGAGCATCCTGAAGTCTCTGTCCCTAGGAGACCAGGTTCAAAGGGAAGATCAGACATATTAACAAAGCAAAATATGATATAAACGCAAAAAACACCCCACAAAACAAAGAAAAGACACCAACTGTTTCAGGACATCAGGATACGGCATGTTACTATATCTTAAGTGGGAGTAGGGTTCATCTGGGAACACATGAAAAGCCAAGGAGGTAAAATATTGGTGATTTTTAAAGATATGGCTTTTTAAAAAAATTTTTTTTATTTGATAGAAAAGGAGCGTGCAAGTGTGTGCATGAGCTGGGGCAGGGGCAGAGGGAGACAGAGAGATAATCCTTAAGCAGACTTCCCACTCAGCACAGAGCTGACATGGGACTCTGTCCCAGGACCCCAAAGATCATGACCTGAGATGAGATCAAGAGTCAGACACTTAACTGACTGAGCCACTGAATATTGGTGATTTTGTAAGTTAAGAGTAGTCTACCCTAATGATGAAAGATGCCACAGAAAAGTCCACTGTATATATGTGCCTTGTGCACTTATAATCAGGAGAAAAGCAGATCTGATGAGGCCTTGCTAAATTGTTTATTTTCTATTTAGGTCTTAGAGGAGAACTTGTTTATCTAACAGCAACTTAAAACTCCTAGGGTTCAGTAAGAGCAGCCCCATAATTTACCTACAAGTCTGCATTTCTTTAAATTCAGTCTTATAGTATGCCCTTCTTTGAAAAAAAAAAAAAGACCTCTGAATTTTAGTAGGTATCTATTTACTCAAAATTAAAGGGTTACATATTTGAAGTTAAAACAAAACAAAAACTGGATCAAAAGACTAGTAGGGCCACTGGTCCACACCAACACAATTAAGTGTCATCCCTTACTCTGTGGCTCAAACTGTAAACCTATCGTGTAGGAAGGAGAAAATCAACTCTGAAAAGCTAGCCTTGCAAACCCAAGCCTCTAATACGATAAGTAACATTACAGGCATGAATGCAGTTGGCCTAAATATATAAAGGAAGTTCAAACACTAGCTCTATTGATTAGTTTTGATTTTGTACTTTTAAAATATTACTTTAATATACACAGACCAACTATTTAATTTTAACATTTTAAGAACAACTGCCCTTAATTGGATGAGTTTCTAACAAAACTCTTATTTTCAAACCTTTCCTTTACTGGCACAGAGGCATAAGGAGAGGCCACAACCTGAGGTTCATTAATGTTTTAGAACAGGGCCATTCCTCAATTTTATTTAAACTTAAAGGGCTTATGAAAATTTAATTGCCTAAAGATGATAATCACAACAACAGTTATGGTAAAATAAGTCAGTACTTCCACCTCAGAAAGCACTCAGAAAAGTATATAATAAATTTAAAAATCTGAAAAAAGGGACGCATGGGTGGCTCAGTGGTTGAGTATCTGCCTTTGGCTCAGGTTATGGTCGGGGATCGAGTCCCACATCAGGCTCCCCGCAGGGAGCCTGTTTCTCCCTCTGCCTATGTCTCTGCCTCAGTCTCTCTGTATCTCTCATGAATAAATAAAATCTTTAAAAAGATTTTTTTAAATAAAAATCTGAAAAATAAGCCCCTGAAAAATCTAAGGTAATAAATTTCATTCTCCAATTAGGTAAACAAGAAAGTATTCCCAGAATACCAACAGATTTAGAGAAAAAAAAAATAGACATTGTAGCAGTAAAAGTCTAATTGCCTAGACACTACATACTGTAACATAACTCAGTAAGAGCAGCCCCAGGGAAAGCAGGGAAAGGTGATCACTACAAATAAGCTGGAAGTTGAAATAGGGACAGCAACCTGGTACAGGAATATGCAACCACCAGTAAACAAAACAATGCACATCCTTCCAAGTTCTAGGGAGCAAGCATCCCCTTTACCACCAATTTAATAATGTAGCAACAAGAGAAATGCAGTACAAAGTGAGAAAGTAATACCTAAGTGATCACTACCATCTCTTTTAAACAAAGCTCATTTTAATTTGTGGTGAAACTGGATAACCCAAAAGGTAAACAGAAAGGGTGGTAATCCTATAAGGCCAAAAGGAAAAGGGAATATTTCTGCTATGAAGATGATTCAGGCCTTTCCCACATGCTCTTCGGCACTTTAATTTCTCCCAATCCATTCACTGCTGTCCAACAACATAATCAACTAGTTTGTGTTCCAGCTCTTCTCTCTTATGGCTTAAGATCCTATTATGATTTTTCTCCAGGTCACCTACCAAAGCCAAAGATAAAAAAAATAGACTGCAGATCAGGCCAGGAAGGGTTAAGACCTTGAGAGGTGACCCACTAAAAATTATGGGTGACTTCTGCTGCTGGCCATGAATGAACAACTGGTATGGAACTGGCCCTCCTGCAGTGACGACTAGAAAGCCAGACAAAATAAATGAGACGGCTGCTTTCAGACAGTGAGACAATAGGCAAGAGCAGAACCATGAGTCCTGCAGAAAGGGAAAAACAAGTTAGGTAAGTCCTGCAATTGCCTGCCTCCCGTGCACAGTGGAGGAGGAATCCAAGCAGAGAACGAAAGTCTTGAAGGACCCACGAGGCAGAGACTGGAGTTCAGGGAAGCTAAGATTACAGGAGTTTTCAAGACAGAGCACCAGGAAGGAGATATGCAGAGAGAGTCCTCTAAAAATCTGCAGAGCTCCCCCCAGTCCTAAACTGCTGAGGAACAACTGCTGGAAGCTGTAAAGTGATCATTCCCAGAATTCACACAGCACTGGAAGACCTTCCGATTCCATCCAGCAGAGTGGAGCTATCTCAGCAAACTCTCTGGGCAATCAACAGAGATGCAGAAAGGCCAAACTTTGTAAAAAGGCTAAATTGGCCCTAAAATAAATCGACACTGAACTTGACCCTCACTAACACAGTTTAACAGCGAGCCTGGAAAGGATTAGCCTAATCCACAAATTATTTTGATGCCTGCCAAAACAAGTGCCATAATTCTTTATTGGAAGACACCAAATCTAAACACTCAGGGCACCTGGGTGGCTCAGTGGTTGAGCGTCTGCCTTCAGCGCAGGTTGTGATCGCAGGGTCCGGGGATCGAGTCCCGCATCAGACTCCCCAAAAGAAGCCTGCTTCTCCCTCTGCCTATGTCTCCGTCTCTCTCATGAATAAATTAAAAAAAAAAAGGCACTCAACAACATAATACACACAATGTCCACGTGAAGAAGCAGCAACAGACAGAAATGACAGAATTAGCAGATCAGGATGTTAAAACAGCTATTATGAATATGCTCCATATACTCAAGAATATAGAGAAAAACATGGACATAATGGAGAGAAATAGAAGATTCCATTTAAACTTTTTATGTCTAGAGCTGAAAAATCCAGTATCTGAATTTAAAATTCATTTCACAGAATTAACAAGATCAATGAACCTGAAGACACGGCAACAAACAGTATTAAAATTGAAGCCAGGCAGAAAATAAGACATAAAAAAAAATCAACCAAGCCTCAGTGATTTACGAGACATGATCAAGCTGTCCAATATACATATAATTAGAGTCCCAGAAGAAGAGAGGAGGGGAGGAGGGACTTAAAAACTATCTGAAGAAATAGTGGCAGGGGCACCTGCGTGGCTCAGTCAGTTGAGGATCCAACTCTCAATTTCAGCTCAAGTCATGACCTTAGGGTTGTGGGATCAAGCCCCAAATTAGGCTCCACACTCAGTGTGGAGTCTGCTTGAGATTGCCTCTCCCTCTGTCCCTTCCCCGCTTGCATGCATTCTCTCAAAATAAATTACAAAAAAAAGAAAAAAGAAAGAAAAAAGAAAAAGTGTCAGAAATTTTTCTAAATTTGATCAAACCTGTAAGCCCACAAATTCATAAAGCTTAAAGAACACTGGGTGGCATAGACAAAATCGCACAAAGGCACATCACAATCAAATCACTGAAAACCAGTGATATTAAAAACAACACAAAAATACTGTTGCTCCCCTGCCTCCATACACATATAAAATAAAAACAACCCCAATCCAAAGAAAGCAAATTAGCATCTTTCTAAATCTTCTGATTGAAAAATGTTAATAGTTCATCAAAATGGAATTTTTCTATTTTGGTAGAAGCCTTCCTTTCCTGGCACCCCTAGCATAAGCTAGTCTGTTTACTGGGCAATCAAGCATGAACAGAGTTAAACTACTGCAAAACAACTTTATTGTAACTCTGTTATTAATGCATTTGCACACCTTATTGCATACCCTCACTAATGTCACACACTTTGGACTGTACACTCTCCTTCACATCAGGAACCTTCATGTTTTAGCCTGTACACTTCTAGTGCCTTTCTACTGATACATAACTATTTGAAGACACATGAATGAGTCAATCTCATTTCATCCTCAGTACATCGTTATACAGTATATAGAACAAGATGAGAAAACGGATGCCCAGAGGGATTAAATGTCCCAAGAACATTTGAAAAGTGAGCATTATCTCACATCCCTAGAATAATGCCTCTGCACAGGGTTAGCCGAAAAGCAGACACAAAAGAAGTAAATTTTGTTACTTACTCTGAGTTTCCACAAGATCCAAGGCAACACTAGAAGCTGTGTCCATTCCAGAGCTGATACAGGACTGGAAGTTTTTCAAAGAGGAGAGAGCAGATTCTATACCACTGAAGGATATAAAACCAGTTGAACCTGAACTTGAACTGGAACGTCCGGGCATCTTGAAATTATTACCTAAGTTTTCAAATACAGTGAAATAAGATTTAGGAGTCAGGATTAGTACTGCATAGGAAAATAACACTACTATAAACATCCATATGAACGTATCTAATGGCCCACAAGTGCCACACTATTATATACATTCCATACTCCTGGAGGGGCCACCAAAGCACTGTGTTGTCATCTGTGCACAGATGCACTTAGTACATGGGAAAGCTAAGTGTTTTCATTTTTCAAAGGGGAGAGAATACCCTCCCTTGGGTAAAATATTCCTCGGTTCTCTAAAGAACTCAACAACAGCACAGTTCTTAAAAAGCTAAAACATAAAGGAGTTAGAAAAAGCAGACTACTCATATGATGCCTTTTCCCAAAAACTGGAAATAGTAGTAATAAAACAGTTTAACAGGGAGAACTTCGAAACTTGTAATTTTTAACTTACCTAACATATAGGCATACTGAATTCTGAAAACTGTATATATATAAATATAAATTTAAAAATCTATATTATATATAGATATTATACATATTCCTGACAGTCCTCTGGGTTCTAACAGATTTATAGACTTGGTTAGATTTTATATTCTGTGTCAATAAAAGCAGAATTTCTCTACATTATAGAGTAAAATAGAAGGGCAATATGGAGTAGAGGTCATGTATGCAGCTTCTAGAACCAGACTGAGTTCAAAACCTAATTTTGCCACTTAAGTAACTGAATGACTTGAGGCAAATTATTTAACCTCTCGGTATTTCATTTTTCCCTTCCTAAAACAGGAATCATTCAGTGCCTACCCCAAGGATTACTGTGAGAACTGAATGAAATAAGGTGTATAATGAAACGTGCAGGATAATGCCCAACATATAAATCTTTAAAAGTGGAAGCAAATATTAATATCAACGTCATCATTTTAACACTGTACACAATACAGAGTAGCGCTTAAGAGACTGGACACGGGACAGAGATGCCTGGAAATTCTGTTCCGTGCACACCACTTAGAACTGCACAACATTGGTCAAGTTGCTTACTTTCTCTAGCTTCAATCTGTTCTTGTATAAAATGGAAATAGTCGTATCTATCTCACAGCATTATTGTATAAATTAAATTTCATGATTTTCTATAATTTGCCTGATCTTAGAAGTCAGTTGAAATGCTTATTGTAAATATAGATGTATATGTAAGTGCTATCTCGGACCTACTAACCCGAGTCCCTAGTGGACACTCCGGGGAAACCTGTATTTTTATGAATCGCTGCAGAGGATTCTCAGAATCAAACAAGTATGGAGAACACTGAGATAACTGCATCTCCTCCCAAAATCATTGTTGAGAGCCTAACCCCCATTGTGTGGTATTTGGACCCGAGATCTTTGGGAGACAATTAGGTTTAGATGTCCTGAAGGTAGAGCCTAATCTCAGGAAGGAATTAATGTCCTTATTAGAAGAGGAAGAGACACCTGAGCTCGCTCTCTGCCCCCAATAAGGACATAGTAAGAAGGGGGATGACGAGAGCGAAAAAGAGGCCTCTTACCAGTACCCAGCCATGCCGGCACCCTAATCTCTTGACTTCTGGTCTCCAAAACTGAAAATAAATTTCTGTTCTTTAAGCCACCTGTCTATGCTGTTTTTTAATAGCACCTGGAATGGACAAAACACACAACGTATATAAGGAATAATACAATACAGGATAAGTGATGAGTGTCTCCCACATAGTAGCTATCCTTACTATGTGCATGCAAAATTCACATTACTCTAATGAAACTCTACGCTTGCAGAGAGCCGAGGGAAACTTCCTTCTGTAACTCTGGAGTGTTTCAGGAAAAAGATTTGGATTGAGAAGCAAAGAGAATGGATGGAGTAGACACACTCTTCTCTCTTTCTCCTGCTAAGAACAGCTAAGTACATAATTCACAGGACAACCCCACCCTCCAAAAGAATCATCTGGCCCAAAATGTCCATCATGAAACCTTGGTTTAAATCAACCTCCTCGGGATCCCTGGGTGGCACAGCGGTTTAGCGCCTGCCTTTGGCCCAGGGCGCAATCCTGGAGACCCGGGATCGAATCCCACGTCAGGCTCCCGGTGCATGGAGCCTGCTTCTCCCTCTGCCTATGTCTCTGCCTCTCTCTCTCTCTCTCTCTCTCTCTCTCTCTCTCTGTGACTATCATAAATAAATAAAAATTAAAAAAAATAAATCAACCTCCTGTTGAAGCCTTCCCTAGTAACAATAATCTCTTTGTTCCCTGTACCTACGGTTTCCAAGAAAGATTAAAGCAAGGTTTCCAGGCAACCCAGGTGGCCCAGAGGTTTAGCACCTGCCTTCAGCCCAGGGCATGATCCTAGAGACCTGGGATCGAGTCTCACATCAGGCTCCTTGCATGGAGCCTGCTTCTCCCTCTGCCTATGTCTCTGCCTCTCTCTGTGTCTCTCATAACTAAATAAAAATCATATATATATATATATATATATATATATATATATATATATATTTCCTGAGTTTTCCCCACGCATGTTATTTTGCCTTCCCATACCGAGCCTTGTCTTAGGCCATTCAGGCTGCTGCAACAAAATACCAGATTGGGTAGCTTACAAACAACAGAAATTGATGCCTGGAGTTCTGGAGGCTGGGAAGTCCAAGGTCAAGGTGCCAGCAGGGTCCCATTCTGGTGAAGGCCCTCTACCTCGTTCAGAGCCCCCAAGCCCTCTCACCCTTTGTCTTCACAAGGTAGAAGGTGCAAGGGAGGGAGCTCTCAGGAGCCTTTTACAAAGGCACTAATTCCATTCATGAGGGCTCCACCCTCATCACCTAAGCACCTCTCAAAGGCCCCACTTCCTAATACCATATCACACCGGCATTAGGATTTCAACATATGAAGGGGCGGAGGGGGGGGGGCAGAAAAACATAAATATTCAGACCACAGCAAGTCTGATTCACTTCAGGCAGGGTCACTTATCAGCTGACTTAAAAATACTGTTTCCCCGTCTCATCTCTCCTTACAGCAGGGTGGTAGACGCGGTGCTAACAATTTTTTTTTAATTTTTATTTATTTATGACAGGCACACAGTGAGAGAGAGAGAGAGGCAGAGACACAGGCAGAGGGAGAAGCAGGCTCCATGCACCGGGAGCCCGACGTGGGATCCGATCCCGGGTCTCCAGGATCGCGCCCTGGGCCAAAGGCAGGCGCCAAACCGCTGCGCCACCCAGGGATCCCCGGAGCTAACAATTTATAGACACTCTGCCGAACGTCCTTCAAATCACGGGGCCTATACAAGTCCAGCCAGAGCTGCAGCTCCTTTATCAAGATGCAAGGGTACGTCTTTCCTTATGAAACCGTCTCTTACCTATACAAGCAATTGCTTCTTCCCTCCCTCATGCTACTACTATGCCCCCTCTCCCTCACACACGCACACACACTTCTTCGTAAAACTCATCACAGCTATTTGTTCACCCGGCTGCCACTCCTTCACCCTGGGAGCAGCTTAAACCACAACCCTGACACGTTCTGCTAGCACCTAAGACAGCTCGTACGAAAGAGGCGATCAAAGAACGGAGAGGGACGACAGGAACAGCAACCACCCTTTCTTGGTTTTTTTTCTTTTTTTTTTTTTTTTAAGATTTTACTTATTTATTCATGAGAGACAGAGAGAGAGAAGCTGAGACAGGCAGAGGGAGAAGCAGGCCCCACGCAGGGAGCCCGACCTGGGACTCGACCCCGGGTCTCCAGGATCACACCCTGGGCTGCAGGCGGCGCTAAACCGCTGGGCCCCCCACAGTGCGCCATAAACTGAGGCCCTGGCGCTACTTTCTCATGACCGCTAACGCTCACAACCAATTATAGAAAAGGAAACTGAGGCCCAGGGAGCTCATTTAGACCTCCTGTCCGAGGCCCTGCTTTTAAAGACAGCTCAAACCACACGAATCCGCATCAGGAACCCGTGAACTTTCCCCCCACTCGGGTGGGAGGAGGGAGAGACGGCGCCTCGGGGAGGGGGCAGCCTGCCCAAGCCTCCCTGCTCGGCGTGCAGAGCCAGGACCACAGCCCGGGCGGACAGACCCCAGCTCCGGGCACCCGCGGAGCGCCCCAGGGGGAGGCGACACCTGTCGCCACCCTCGCCCTCGCCACCCCCCGCTTCCGCCTTACCTGGAGGCGCGCCCCGGCTCGGCCTGGCTGCACCCGGACCGCCCACGCCCGGACCCCAACTCCTTCCTCAACTCCCTTCCCGGGTCGCTGAAACCGCGAGCGCGGGCTCGAGCGTCATCAGCCGTCGCCGGCGAGCGGTCACATGACGCCCCGCCCTGCTCCCGCCCCCTCTGGTCATGTGACTGCCACGGGCGCCACAGGCGGAAGCCGGGGTCCCGCCGGCTGGCGATCGGGGGCTGCGGCTGGAGGGGTCGTCGTGCGGGGAGGGAAGGCCGGGCGCCCGGGTGCCGACCCCGCCCGCGCTCGCCGGCCCCGCACGTGCGCCCTGGCGCGGCCGGGGTGACAGGTGAGTGAGGGCGGGATGCGCTCTCCGGGGCCCCGGCCCCGCGCAGGGCCGCGCGGGCGGAAGGGGCGGCGTGGACGGGGAGTCGGGCTTGGAGGGCTGAGGGCCTGCCTGGGGCGGCGCTGCAGCCCCAGCTCTCCCACCTCCACTCAGGGGGCAGCGTTCTCCACGCCGCGGATACTCAGCTGTTGGCCCGCCTCTGATCCCTCCAAGTGTCCAGGAGCCGCGCCGGGTGGGCGGCGTTATTCCTGCGTCTACTCTCGAGAAAACGGGGTGCTCGGCGAGGGCTTTGAGCGCCTGCTAGACCCGGGTTTGAATTCTAGCTCCGCCGTGGGTTTCGGACTTGAGCCAGTCATTGCTCCTCTCTGCACCCAAGTTCCCTCACCTGCGGCACGCTGGTGCCAAAGTTCTTTGCATTTGGAAAGTAGTCCCGAGGGTCCGGACAGGTTTGTGGCGCACGGTTGAAAACATAAATCAAAAAAAAAAAATAAAAAAATAAAAAATATAAAAAAAAAAAAAAAAAAGAAAACATAAATCAAGTCACGGTGCCGGTGATGGAGCCGGATTCCAAGTGCGCGGAGTTTCCTCCAACAGAGATACTTGGGGTCGTGACAAGGGAGGGAGAGGTCTTCCTGCTTCTGCGCATAACCAGGAACGCCTTCGGGTTTTCGTTCTGCCGTCTTCCAGGATTTATGAAGGGCTAGAGAGATCTGGCCCATTGCCGAACTTGTGTGGAAGAGATTTGTCAGTCACTTTTATTAGGATCAACAACCATTCTATTTTGTTCCCGGTCATGGATAGGTGGAGCCCAGTGCTTCCTTCTTTATGGAACCGAGGTTTTATGAAAGGATAAAAAAAAAAAAAAAAAAGACTTCTTTTGTCCTCTGAGTAGGGCACACAGGTTTTTGTGGTTTGTCCCAGGACAATTTAATTTCCTTCAGAATTCAGTTCTGTACCTGTTGGGTGATTGGTATGGTGATGATGATGCCATGCTGCATTCTTGAAACACGTTGTTGTCTTTTGTCTAGGGCTACCTTCCAAACTGAAAACCACAGTTCCATACCAAATTCTTAAAAATAAGTTAACAGCTGCTTTTTTGGGGTGCCTTGTAAAGGAAGAGTAGGAAGTCGAGTGGGATCTCTGGTTTCATTTCATGCTAAATAGTAATGCAGCCTATATTGAGAAAAACTGGTCTTTATGAGTTTTCTTCGTCTCTAGCACCAAGAAAACCACTAAATGGAAGATTTGATATAGGTTCATCTACAGTGTTTATCTGGGTCTCATATGTTTTAAATCTCAACTAAGTATTAGCACCTTATGAAACCGCCTAATTCTGAGAGCGCTGCAACATGATTAGGCATCTTTAATGTTGGTTTTAGATTCTCTTCTTTAGGGCAAGTTTCTCAACCAACAATGGGTTATCTACCAAATACTCTAACCAAATAATATTTTAAATGTTGCCTACAGTGTAAGGATTTAAGGATTAAAATAAGGGGTAAACACACAAAAGTCTTGACTTATGTCATTATTCCAAGCCTAAGCTAACTTGACTCTGTGCATGCCGGAGCTGAGTATATCTCTTTTTTGTTTTTTGTTTTGTTTTGTTTTGGGGGGGGCGGGTTTTGGTGGGTGAGGTAAGGAGAAGAAGGCAGGTAATGTTTTGCTTAAGATACTTTCTCCATGGTCCCATTGTCAATCCTGTATTGGGATCCAAAATCTGGGAGCAGTTACACCAGTTAAACGTAGCTTGCTCACCTTGCAATTGTGTCTTGAGTTTCATCCTACTTAGACCTGGGTCTTCAGAGGAATTCAGTGACTTGTTGTTGTTGTTGTTGTTGTTGTTGTTGTTTTGCCCATTTGCCATTATTTTCCTCCTCTCCTTGTCTCATTTTCCCAACTAGACCATTTCAGTGCAAAAAAAAAAAAAGGAATGAAATTGGGGTGACTGGCTGGCTCAGACAGTAGAGCATGTGGCTGATAATCTCAGGGTGAGTTTGAGCCCCACACTGGGGGTAGAGTTTCCTTAAAAAAAAAAAAATGGAATGAGATGATCTGAAATTCAGCCTATTAGAGATCAATGTGGCTTAATGAGTAAACATTATGAGAAAACGAAAGGACTTGTTAATAATTTAAGCCTTAATGTGTATTAAAGATCTCCTCATAAAACAAAGTTCTAAACAACTGTAGTGGTTTCTCAGCAATCCCTGTTCTTGGACCAACCCCATCTACTTCCTCTGATCTGTGCTTCTCTCACTTGCTCACTCTGTTCCAGCCACATCAGCCACTTGGCTATTCCTTCACATCTAGCACATTGCTGCCCTGTGGCCTTTGCATTTAATTTAAACACTTCCTGGAATGCCCTCCTCCCAGATCATTACTGATTGTAAAATAACAAACTGCCCCAAAACCTAGTAATTTAAGACAAAAAAAAATTTTTTTTGGGCTAATAGTTTCTGTGGTCAGGAACCTATGATGTAGCTTAGCTAGGTTCCTTTGGCTCAGGGGCTCTTAGGAGGTTGCAGCCTGGCTGTGAATAGAAGTTGTCTTATCTGAAGGCTCAACTGGGGTTGTGTGTGGTTCCATTTTCAAGCTCATTCAAGTGGTTGTTGGCAAGCCTCTTGCTCCCTCATCACAGGGTACACTCACAACATGACAGCTTGCTTCCCCCAGAACAAACAAGCTAGGAACGGTGCCCCAGTCAGAAGTCACCATTTTTTGTGATCCAACCTCAGAAGTAATATCTTTTACATCTGTCTTATTGTGTTCTTTAGGAGTCAGTAAGTCACCCTCAAGTAAAGGGTTCATACACAGGGCATGAACAAGGAGATTGAGGTCACTGGGAGCTGTCCTAGGGGCTGCTGACCACACTCAAATACCCTTACTGCTTGCTTCCTTACTTCCTTCTGGTCCCTGCTCAAATATCTTATCACAGAGGCTGTAAAACAACACACACTCCATCTCTTTATCATGCTTTTTCTTCACAGCAATGATCACAGCCTGATACATAATGCATTTATTTATTATCTCTTCCCCACTCCTAGTAGTATGCCGGCTTTATGAGAGCCAGAACTTAGTTTTGTTTGCTGCAATATCCTCAGGTCCTAAAACAGTGCTTGACACATAATAGGCACTGGGTACATATTTGTTGAATTAATGAATCTATACCAGTAGGATTCTGTAAAGAATCCAAAAGCCAACTAGCAGTAAATAAATCATAAAAATAGCTCATTTTACAAGGATTACAGAGGCAGGAAGTGCCACAGTTGAATCAATGAGTCAATAACATCAACAAGAATTTAGATTCTTGGGATGCCTGGGTGGCTCAGCAATTAAGCGTCTGCCTTCGGCCCAGCGCATGATCCTGGATTCCCGGGATGGAGTCCTACATCGGGCTCCCTGCATGGGGCCTGTTCTCTCTCTGCCTGTGTCTCTCATGAATAAATAAAATCTTTTTAAAAAAAGAATTTAGAAAAAAAAAAGAATTTAGATTCTTTCTAAATTGGGATCCCTGGGTGGCGCAGCGGTTTGGTGCCTGCCTTTGGCCCAGGGCGCGATCCTGGACACCCGGGATCGAATCCCACATCGGGCTCCAGGTGCATGGAGCCTGCTTCTCCCTCTCCCCATGTCTCTGCCTCATTCTCTCTCTCTCTTTCTCTCTGTGACTATCATAAATAAATAAATAAAATTAAAAAAAAAAGATTCTAAATTCCTTCCAAACCACAATCTGCAGATTTTTGGCTTTTTTTCTTTTAGCTTGTCATCTTGTTTTTCAGGCAAGATATGTTCATGGGACCACATTCAAAGGCAAGAAGGAGAGGGATAGCCAGAGGAAAGATAGAGAAATTTCTCTTCATATGCTTCTCCCCTTATAGCAAGAGGAAAGACAATATATTTCCTGTGAGGTCTACTATAGACTTCCTCTTTATATCTGATTGGTTGACACTGAGTCACATGTCTAACTAACCTCACTTCAGGGGCCATGGAAAAATAAGGATCCACTTGTTTCCACCTCTATAGGAAGAAAGGAAGAGGAAGGAGGAAATTCTTGCTGAGGAGTCGACAGCATGCCAGTAAATTAATACATTTCTAAGTATTTAATCAATTCTAAGAGATGTACAGAAGGAAAAAAGAAAACAAACCTTGAAGGGCTATACAAAGCTTCCAGGTATTAGATAGCTACACTAGGTAGCTTGACATGAGCAAACTCTGAATATATGTGGCAAGGGTTGGGGAATGTTTTGTTAGGGCTACAAAGGAAGCCTTCTCCTGTCAAAAGTCTTCCCACATTCTGTTTTTGTGTGCAGCGACATCCTCATTGTTTCATCGTTCACTATCTGAGTCCCTACAGCTAGATTACATATTTACGAAAAAGTTGGCGTTGGCGTAAAAATTTTAATGAGCTGACCGCTTATACGATTAGTTCTTCTCATTCAGATATTTGTATCCTAAAGGGTCTATTATGTTGAATTCTTATTTTTGTTGTTCAGTCTTCTTAATGTCACGTTGATAGAACACAGTGCCAGTGCGAAATGCAAATGTTGGGAGGTATACAGGCCTTCATAATGCTGAAAAATAATCCAGGCTTCCATGAAGTTGACCACGATGACCTAGCTAAATGAACAATTAGAGGAGAGAAATATAAGATAGATGATGACAAAATTAACACTTCCGAAGATAACGATTTGAAAAAGAGTTGGAAGAAGCCTTTGGGAAAATAAATGCTGCTGTGAACATTTTTTGCAAAAATTACCTTTTTCTAAGATCATGCTATAAAAGCTATGAAGTACAAGATACTATAT